AGAATGCATTGTCCCATCGAATTCAGATTAGTCGGCTTCACTGATTGGGACACGTATTTCGCATGTTTAGTCATCGTCTGCCGCACTACGCCTTATTCGCAGTTGCGGCTACGGGTTGGAAGAAACCGCGTGGAGGTCAACAGATGACGTGTAAGCGAGGCATTAAGAAATGCACAGAGTGATTAGATAGAATCGGTGTCTCCCGTCTTCCAGGTTGGGGTTCGAAAGACTGTGCAACTGGCTGGTTGGAGAGACTGAAGGATATGGCGACTAACCGACAGCAGTAGCGTTCTTGTTGTCATTTCTTATCAAATCAGAATGCTTGAAAAGGTGTGTATGCACAGTTAGATTGTGTACTCTGTCTGTTGACCTTGGAGGTTAACTTTCTTTGCCTCTCTCCATTTATGTAGGCCTGATTCCTCTCCATCTTGTGCTTTAACACAGAAAACACAAGTTTCGCTTTGACAACGTTTGTTGGATCACAATATTGATAGAATACAATCTATGAGCAAGCGGCGAGCTTCAACCCGACCTAAGCGTAGTTCCAGTATAGTTTTAATACTTTGCAAAGAATATTTGAAGGCACTTCTAATATATATATATATACGAAACGGCAAAGATGGGGTTGGAGGTGTGGAAGGTGAACTGAAACAGTTGATTAACGAAAGACGGATACAGATGGAGCTCCGCTTCCATTATTGCATAGGCTCATGCGGTACAAGGCACAGTGAAACAGATCTGGCGACTGGGCGGCTCCACATCGTAAGTCCTTTTATCTTGGTGAAAATGAGCTTCTTCTTCAAAATCAACCAAAAAGAGCACTGGTGTATGACTAGTGCGCCATGATGGTCCGCCCGTACTCATGCGATGAAGGCTCGGTTCATCAGTTTTGATTGAAAGCGGGTGGAGACGACCACAGTCAATCGCAAATAACTTTGACAGGGTTCGCGCTATTGGTTTCGTTTGCTGAGCACATCTCCGAATTATTCGATATTGATCCATTCCTGATTAGGGGGCTAGACTGTTCATTAATAGCACGGCGTGTACAGAGGCAAGCGCTGGTTTGCGAATGAATAGAAGAGGTCGATTTTTCACCTAACGAAAAATAACGAAAAGATCAATCATTGAACTGAGAGGCTCTGCGTCTAAGGTTCATGAGATCTATCTTACCTGTTTCCGGGACCTTTGAAAGCTATAGCTGTGTAGTGAAGAATGATGTCCAGGTTCTCCTGTCAGGATGTTTTCGTATTCAAAGCTTCATCTTGACTGACTTCTTGGAACTTAACAGACCTATTGGAACCTAAAAGAATAAAAAGGACTATCAATGAATAATGGAATCAGTTCAGTGTTGATTATTGCCGTCCGTGTTAGCTAACAGTCAATTCAAAAATTTTGTATTACACCTAAGGCCTTATTTTATATTTCGCCTGTAGGACTAAAGTAAGCACTGGGTAAATTGTGTCGCTCATGAATTCGCTCATTTTCAACAGCACTTTTTTACGTAGTTTTCCACTAAGAATTTCTCTTCAAAATTTTCTATTCGTATTCTTCCTCGTTAATCTAATAAATGGTAATCGGAATACTGAAACCAAAGCTGTCGCACTCCAGGGAAGAATAAAAATACGGGGCTAGGTTGACCGTAGACCAGGCAGTTTGTTCGACTATTTATTTCGTTTTTGTTTTTATCAAAATATCTTTTGCCATTCGGGGTCAGCCAGAAACCAATTCCATGGGAGAAATAATTTGAGACTTAGCTTCTGTGATTCTGGTTATCTTCCTTCAGTTTCTCTCGTCCTTGGCTGTTTAGTGCTGCCGGACCTGCCTTTGTCTCTCTTATCCCAAATAACCTATCAGAATAGTGTTGCCTATTGTGTTTCAAGATGCCGTATGCACCGCAAGTCATCCACTGCTTCAGTCCACATGTTTTTTTGACGAAATTTCACAACACGTCCCGCTTCATAATACAGAGGGCATTGAGTTGTTTTTCGTAGTCTGTTTGAGTGATAAAACCTCTGTACCTCTGTACCCTATGTTTCATTTATTGATATCCTTTATTTTGGTTTGTTTTTCTAGCTTAGTGCTTCAAGTCACAGTGCTCTCAGCACAATTGTAAAGTTGTTCACAGCAACCATATTAAAGTACTAAACTAAGGGGGAGCGTTTTCCGTGCGTACTATTTTGCCAGAAATCTTGCATTTGCTCGAACGACATCTGGCACATTCACAGGGCTTCCTGACAGATCCCAAACAAGTGCAATTAATGCGTTCCATATACTCCATGCTTCGGTCGTGCTGTCTGGAAAACGAGATCAACCGTCGGCGTATTGCCGAAACCACCATCATTCAGGACATGATCAACATGCTGGTCTCACTCGAACTATCTAACAGCAATCCAATTATGAATGATTTGTGCCAGTTACTCCACGATTGTTGCGCATTCATACGCAGTATGACCTTGGATGACGATATGAGCGTCGAATTTGGCGAGGGTTCAGTGACNGCGAGGAATATTGCCTCTGACAAGGCAGTTCTTCTCTCATTTGTCAAACTGGCCAACGGTACGTTTACGGATCGGTTTATTTGTCCACCCTCTTCTCTTGTTCTTTTGGGTAACCGCCGTTTAGAGTTTGCGTAAACTATCCTTCGTGGGTTTTTTCTCAGTGACCGCGATGCTTCCCGGTCGTGCTACATGCTTATGTATGTATAATGTTCCTGTAATTGAAAATTGGAGTCAATACCCAAAAGTAAGTTTCGTTCCCAGCGGGAGGCCAGTATAGCTATGATTAAGCCATTATTAAAAATTTTATCAACCCGGTTTTATTGAAGGACTACTTTAAGCGGAGAACTCTTATCAATTCTTCTTTGCGTTTTGCGTAACCTTCGATCCTTGGTGACTTTGAGGTAACGATAATTGGGGGGGGGGGGGAGAATCCGTTTAGACACGGCTCCAGCTCCGACCGCACATAGAATCATCTCATTTGGCAGACAGATTCATTAGGCCCCACAATTGGGCTACGGATGACTTGCCTTCTTTTCTCTACCAGACCGGATTTCGCTCGTGAATCTCTTTAGTCAACTACCAACTGGTACGACGTATGTGACCTGCTCCACGGGAGTACGAGAACTAAATGCACATGGTTGACAATGATAGCCGATCTCTAAGTCTACGAGCACTGACCGGGTAGGATAAAAATAAGAATATGTTGAGTTCAGCGACATAAACTGTGGCTTATATTGCTTGGGAGCATCTCTTTTTAAGAGTTTAATGACATGATACCCAGTTTACTCTTATGTTGTTTCGTTTTCAGATGCTATTCGATGAATTTATCAGGATGTTTATTTTGCTGGAAAGTACTCAGTGTTTGCTTGAATTCTTCTGTCAATATTCCGTTCAAACAGCTCATTCTTGCTCGTCACTCTCTGCAATGCATTAGGTTTCGTTTTTGGTCGATCGGTACAGAGCTGTAGAGGTTTATATATCAAATACAAATGATGGTTCAAGTTACGCAACCAGTTTCATCAATTGCTCATAATTTTATACCCCCTTCCCCCCCAGTCTTATTATGATACCTGACTTTCGTGATCGTATATTAATGTATAAGTGTATAAGTTTAGGAAGAACCCTCTGAGAATGTTCTGGCTAATCTCTCTTGAACGGTGGTGGGATTGCGGTTAACTACACAGTTTACAATTCCGTCCTATCTCAATTATTTCGTGTTCGGTAAATTTTCTATCTGGACCTTGAGTTAAATGCTTGAATAATGTTGACAAACTTTTAAAAATCGGTTCTCCTAGTTCGGGCGAACTGAATTCGCCTGTTCGTCAAGATCAGTAATTGGTTTTCAAGCGTTTCATCACCAGCTAAGACAATGTGCTCAGTGCTTGTGGAGTGCCCTTCGGACACGTATTCTAACATTGCATTGGGTTTATTTGGGAAAAAATAATCGACTTAGATGCACGAACAAGTGAAGAATTAGATTAGATTAGAATCTTTTCTTGTATGGAGCAAATGAGTTCAGTTTTGACAACCATTAGTCATGTAGTTTCGTGGGTGGTTTTGGTTGCTATTTCTCGGTTACACAGTTAGATGAAGGAGTAAATGATAGATTAGAATGTTCAAACAAGTGTCAGGGTGAAAATAGAGAATTCATGAGGACTAAGGCTGCAAGGACATTGAGCAAATGCACGAGCACCACTGCAAGTGACATTCAGTGCGTTCCAGCAACGAAAAATCTTTGAAGATAGCAAACCGAACTCAAGTAATTAATTGGGAAGCATAACAGAATAAGAAAATTTCCGCATAGCCAACCTATGCGGATTAACACCTACAAAATTATCGATACACAAATTTCAGCACTGCTCATCGTTTATTTAGCGTGAGTGGTTATCAACCCCCTAGGTCGGAGCTGCATTTATACCGAATTCGTTCGTGCTGAACTGTCTACGGAACTTTAACCTTACCCAAGGTGTCTCCCAGTGTTTTTCTTACTCAGGAGTATAATATAAAGAGAAATTTTTTCCTGCCACAGCGGATGGCCAGTTGTGATTCTCATTAGTGTTGCTAAGGTGCACTACGGACTCCGTGTTGCTGATTTCGTTAGACGCATTGTGTGTGGTTGCTTGTTATATTAGAACGTGGGGTAGCCAGATGAGAAATGCTGAGGTTAGGGGCACAGTTTTGGGTATCCGCGGTCGCCCACTGGAGCAAGTGGTCGACCTCCATAGATTACGTGGGCTGGGACCTGTGTTACGTATGTCACCAGGTAGGTTACCACGGCGAGCGATGTTTGCCGAAGCAGATACCGAGTGGAAAAAGCCAAGGGTGGTCAAGTTAAAACCTGGCACGAGGGTATGAAAACCCTAACCAGTAAACTGAGCCACATAGGTCCTGTTAGGCTCCCTGGCTGGGGACCTCGGGATGATCGTAACCGATGGCTAGAGACACTGAGTGATATGGCTGGGTGTCGTAAACAGTGGCGTTCGTGCATCTTCTCAATTTCTTTGCAACCTTAGACCACTGAACTTCTCCATTTTCTTTTTGACTCCACTTCCAAGTTTCCTTTCTTGTCCTATTCTTCATCCCAATGGGCAGCCAAAAGACAGCAACCAAAACCGGCGCTCGAATATGCGTGGTTAATGGTTGTACAAACTAAAACTAAAATTGACATTAGAACGTTGTTTCAATATGTGCTTGTTGTTTTGCGACAATGAGGCACGTGGATTTGAACAGTTTTCTAATCGATGAGAATCTCGCATTGATTTTAAAAGCTTTGAGGTTAAGGTCCCGGCAGCACCGTACAGTGAAATACATTGAAGCAAACTTCATTGATTGCTACCAAGCTTGCAGTATACATAGGGCTATATATATATATATATATATATATATATATATATATCCAAGCAAGTGAGAATGTGTTAGATAGCCAGAGAACGGGTATATTTTGAAGTGAATTTATGATCTATCCATGAAGTACGCAATCTAAGTTTGCTTATTCACCTTCTATCATCCTGGTTTGGTAAGAATTGACAACGACGACGAAAACAAAAGCAATGTGCATGAAACAATCCTTGTAGGAAGAGCATTGGCAAATTTTGGATGATTGAAAGTTTTGTTCTGTACGGTGTAAAAATCTATAAGGATTGTCATCATAGTTTCAGAAAGGACATCTGTTATCCATGGAGAACAGTGATTAATTAACATGCAACAGAAATGTTTGTGATAACCAGCAGAGAGCACTGGACAGCTGTTTCGTCCTGTTTGGGACTCGTCAGCAGTGCATACTTTTTGTGTTCCTGTCAGGACTCGAACCGCGAACATTCGGGTCGGGACTTCAAACCCATACCCCTGAGCTACACGATCGACAATGATCACCTTGTGCGATTGGCTCAATCAGTTTAGAGTATCTAGCTTGGACTAGCCCATTCGATCGTTCAGGGGCACCAGGCACTCTTGATGTTCTGTACGCACTGCTAACGAGTCCGAAACAGGACGAAACAGCTGTTCCGTGCTCTTTGTTGGTTATCACAAGCATTGCCATCGCAATTGAATATATAACTCAGTATTCAACTATAAATAACCAAAAAGCTGGTTTGGGGGAAGGAAAGTAACCTCATGGGCTATCTGGGGCTAATTTCGTCTTCGGACAGGATGTGGAATTCTCAGTGATCACATAATTGTTAAGTCATCCGATCTTCGAGACCACTTGAAATATGGTGTGTGTGGGGCAGGGGAGTTCAAGCGCCTGCACACATTGTTTTTCGGCACACAGAAGGGGTTTGTGCCGACGAATTCCTACCGCTTCCGCTGTGGCCAGCATACGACATCGAACCTGCCTTAATATTCTACCACGAACCCGTTGCAGGGAACGGAATACCTCGGTCACACTCACAGTGTGATTTGTTTCAACTAGTTGTGAAACCAAGGCACTAGTGAGTGACCTAATCTTTCCTGTTCAGACAAAAGCGTGACAGTGCGGCCTATGTATGTTGTTCCACCGGACCACGAAAATGAGTGCACGCAAAATGAGACGGCAGAATGCGGCATTTTATCCTTTAGTCGTAAACACAATTGACTGGGACGTGAACAAAAAACTGAGCTGTGCTACATAGAAGGTCTTACTAACAGCATCGGATAGTCTCCTTTGTATTACCTCTGCTGATGTATCCCCCTTGAACGGCAAGGCAATGTATACCCACTTCTTTCTGACCTCGGTCTTCTTCACAATATCTCCACTGCACTGAATCATCTTGCTAACCGGTCGTTCCGGATAGCCGTTGTGCGTGAAGATAGTGCGTAAGAACCGCACCCCTTCTATTGTGTCCTCACTACAAATCTTCTTTGCTCTATCTGCTAGGCGGCGCACCAAAGTCCCCTTCTTTTTGAGCTGTACAAAGCTGTGAAAATGAATATATTGGCCCTTCTAAGTCGTCTTCTTATGCACTGATCGCTGTCCCGAGCCGTCCGATCTACGACTCAGACAGACGTCCAGAAATGCCAATTTGTTGTCGTCTTCCATTTCTAAAGTGAATCTCATTTTCTGGTGAGCAGCACCGGACTTGTTCAACAGCTCGTTTGTTCTTGATGTCGTGTTGATCATGCACAGAATATCATCCACATATCGTGTGTATAGCACATAAATGTGAATAGAAGATTTGAGTTGGTTATTTTCGAGTTTCGCCATAAACACATCGGTATACAACGGTCCTTGTTGCGATCCCATGACCACATCATCCTTTTGTCGATAAATCTGCTCGTTGAACTTAAATTGGACGTCGTATGTACAAAATAAAGCGGTTGTTTCAGGTCTTCCAAACGAAGGCCTATCTGCATATTGTTATTCTGTACATAACCACACAGGTATTCAATACTTTCGCTGATTGGAACATTGGTGAAGAGCGAACTAACGTCCAATGAAAGCATAGTCCGACCCATCAAGTTTAAGTTTATTATGATGTATTTAGCATGACTATAAATCACCGAAAACGAGTTTGTTTACCACTCTTTGTTCCAGTTGAAAACAACAGTTCTCAGCAGAACCAGGTAATGTGAGTATTCATCAGCTAGAGAATCGGAGATAAACAAAAAACATACACAAAGTGGTGAGCAGCTCTGAGTGAACTTCGAAACCCAATTTGCACACATTCGTTCCCATCGCAGATGGACTTCATTCGGTAAGCCAATATCCGAGGAGGAATGAGAGTATCGAAGTAGGCAATAGATGAACAGGCAGAATATAGAACTAACGACTGGTTAACCGATGATCCAATTGTTGACGGCTCCAGTGCTCTTTATTGGTTGTCGCAAACATTTCTATTGCATGAAATTGTTGGGAATTAACGATCTCCTAAGGAGCGAAACCCACACTCAAGAACATCAAGAGTGCCTGGTGCCTCTGCACGATCGAATGGGCTAATCCAAGCTAGATACTCTAAAAGTGAATAATTAACTTTGAAATTCACAGTCCATTGAGGTGCCTTCAATTCTTCTTGACTGTGATAGCTACTGTATTTTTATCAGACTGGAAACAAGTATGTTATATCAAGACAACAGGCATGGCAAAATGCCAATGGTGCTTTCATTTTTCCTCCAGGTCTAATCAATCATACGGTCGTCAGTTTATGACTGCCATTTAGTTATACTGTATTCTCGTCGCTAGTCGTTTTCCAAGGAGTGCATCAGAGCGTTCGTAGTTATCTTATGCACACGGTCTATTTTGCTTTTCAGACGCAGTTAAACTTGATAACATGGAACCAGTTGGCGATTTGTTCATCACCCTTTCAGCAATTCTCACTCGAGATGAATTCTGTTGTCAACTTGCTGATTTTGGTGCAACCGACTTGGTGCTCAACGTTCTGCTAAACCATATGCACAACTCCGTAAGTTCACCACCTGATCACGTTGATCATCGGTTGTGGTTTGAAACATGCCCTTCCGCTTTCCCCTTCCGGTTCTTTGTGTTACCAGATGATCGGCTCTCTATTGATCATCGAAGTAGCAAACGAGTGTTCGAAAACCAGCGTAGATTTGTATGTGCAGATAATTTCAATTCACGGCAAAGAGATTGCACTAACCCATCGCTTCTGCATGCACAGATCACGCACCAATGAACCGACACTGATCACTCCGGCTCAATGCTTAATCTGCGCGGACGAGATACATGTACACTGTTAAAAATGTTCATCTGTCTAGTCCGTCCTCTCACGTCGCACAAGGTGTCTCCTGTTTACGCCACCCATGGGTTACCACTGAATTTTTAACCAATAAGCTCAACCAGTCAAAAGCTATAACTTCCATAAAACGAGCCATATAAAGTTCCGCTAGGTTAGGTGTGATACTGAACCGGACGACAGCAAAGCTGCTAAGACAGCGCTCGCTTCTTGACCCAGCTTACTACCGCCCCGTATTATCGAAAGTCATGAAATCCATTGTTGCAGACAATGTGATGAATCACTTGGAAAGATACAACGTGTTATCCCCCGCTCAACATGGGTTTCTTCGCAGGCGAACCTGCTTCTGGCCCGAGAAGAGTGGACAAAAGCATCTGATCATAGTGATGTAGTGGACGTCGTGTACCTCGACTTCTTTAAAGCATTCGACCGAGTAAACCACAAAGTACTGCTGAGGAAACTACACAACTATGGTATTCGGGGACTTATACTGGGCTGGGTAGAAGAATTTCTACGACAACGCACCATGGTAGTTCGCGTTTCTGGATCACTTTCTGATTCCATCAGCGTATCACGAGGAGTTCCATAGGGATCCGTGCTTGACCCTCAACTTTTCCTTGTTTTTATAAACGATCTTGCGGACAGTCTGGGGCCTCAAACGTTAATGTTTGCAGACGATGCAAAAATTGGAAAACGGGGACAAAGACAGAGGACTCGCTAGAACTTCAGAGAACACTTAATACTGCCTATCAATGGTCGATCGAAAACGACATGGAATTTAATGCATCAAAATGTACGATCGTATCCCTTCGCCACAAAACTCGGTTTCCGTATATTTTGGGAGATCAACGAGCGAACGAGAAGAATCTCGGTGTCATTGTCCAAGAAGACCTAGGTTGTTCTTTAAACTGCTCCCGGGTGTCGTCCACCGCTATAAGACATGTTGGTTTGCTAAAGCGAGTATTTGGCAAATTTGAACCCACTCTGTTTCCACGGCTGTTATCAGCATATATTCGGCCCCACATGCAGTATGCGATTCAAGTGTGGAATCCATGGCTGCAACGCGATGGGGAGATTCTGGAACGTCCATAAAAAATGGCCACCAAAATGGTCAAGGAACTGTAACCCAAGAGTCACGCGGAATGACTGCGATCACTGCAACTGTACTTCAGACAGTATCGCCGCATTCGAGGAGACTTGATCTTGGTGTATCAAATAATGCAGGATCCAGATCACCCATTGTAGTGACTCCGTTTCGTCACTCGTGTTTTACGTCACGTTTCTTTTTGTTTTACTGAACGTTGACGCGCGTTAGACCCACACACTTCCACCTTGGTCGTTCAACGCACCGTGCGACGCCACTGTGTTTCACATTCAAATACAGTGCCTTTTGTCCAGGTCTCATAGTCTGCCTTCTGTTTTGCATACGTTGGCTGTTGAGATCACTCTGTCGTATTGGTTTAACGTTACGACTCGTGGGGAGTGTCCAGGGGTCCGTAATACCGTCTATTTAACTAACCAAGGCCACGCGTGGACGGAGCCAGTGCACCTTACACCATGTCGTTCATTCTTTCTTTGTCGCCTAACACTCACCTGAGAGGACACTCATTCAAATTAGTGCTCCAAAATTGCCGACTAGAATGCCGGCGTCATTCATTTGCCCTCAGAGTGTGCACTACTTGGAATTCTCTGCCACCACACGTTGTTTCTGCGCCCACAATTGGTTCCTTCAAGCACGAACTTGATGAAGCTTTGACAGGTCTTAAATTCCAACATCCGTAGCAGTGCACGGAACAAGGATAAATTGTGACTCATCTATTTTCTATGATCCGTGAATCGATTCATTTGTGCTAAACCCTATGGGTCTAGAGAAGCAATCGTCTGTAAATATTTCCCATAATAAAACGTTGTCTAGGTTCCAGTCTGATCCGGAGTAAACAAACGACATACTGCTAATGGAATATATATATATATATATGTATACATATATATATATGTATATATACATATATATACATATAAACCCCTCTAATTTTAGACCGTATGCCAGACAAATTACAGAACAATAATATTTATAAAAAAGGTAGAAAGGTTCATGATTTGCCCGTTAGCACGACCAGGTCAAATCAGGTAAATTTTCTTTAGGGAGTTCACAGTCGGAGGCTTCGACTAGCCAAAGCCTGACCCTGAAGGCCGCGAGGCGGTGTGTGATAACCGCAACCAATTGGGCGCCGATGTCCAGTTCATTGAATCATACGCCCAGTGGACGGGTTCAACCGTCCAAAGTTCCCGATTGAGCCGGTGAACACTGTCACAACCAGGAAGGTGGTGGGTGTGGTGCGTACGCCTTTTCTTGTTTGGTTTGAAATTTGGGTTTTCATTCAATTCCCCTAGGTGAACTGTTAGGGGATGGCTTTTCGTCCTCTCACTTTAGTGCGAAAACCTCCGCAAGATGCCTTTTCTCCACTCTATCGTTCAGTTATGTTTTCTAATTTGGCCATAGATTAGTCTAAAAATGATCCTAATGTCGGGCCGTAACTGCTCCGTCTGTTTGACCATACAGTTTTCTATCAAATAGAAATTGAACGTTAAACGTGTATAGCAGCACTAGTTCCCTTCAGATCTTCGTTGTTATTTCTTGCGGTTTTTGTTCTGTACCAATATAATGACCAACGAATTCGATGGTTTCCAAGACCACACCTTTTCCCCTCAAGCTTTAGCCCAAACCCGCAATTCTTTAGCCTCGACCCACATTCAATTGGCCAAAACTCACAATGTGCTAGCCACAACCCGTAGTTCTCTAACCTCGACGCACAAACTTTAGTTATGCCGGAGTACTTCAACGAGCAGTTCAGCTGGTCAGGCGCTAATCAGGTTATCTCCTCCAGTGTAGCTGAGTCTCCGTGGGTAGTGTCACCTGAACCTCCTACTGTAGCAGGAGTTCGTTCTTGCATCCAAGCCCTGAAGAAAGGAAAAGCAGCAAGGCCGGACAGGCTTCCTCCCACTCATTTTAAGATGGAGGCGATGACCTTGTAGACTGATCTAATGCGTGACATCTGGTCACACGAGCGCGTTCCATCATGGTGGAGCAAATCACTGATCATTCCAATTTTTAAGAAGGGATCTCGCAACGTGTGCGCAAACCACCGTGGAATAAGTTTGATCCCAATCGTCACCAAGTTATTAGCCTCCATCATACTTCGACGTCTGACACACGTCAGGGAAATAAACATCCGCGAACAACAAGCAGGATTTCGACCAGGCCGCGGTTGTATCGATCGAATCTTCACTCCTCGGGCTACGCCATTCGCACCGTCGACCAACGGTTGTCGTTTCCCCTGACCAGAAAGGAGCCTTGTACTCAGTTGACTGCCAATCCCTTATGTGTTCGCTCCTTCGCAAAGGAATGCCGCAAAGAATGTGAACATGCCAAGTTCACTCTACTCACATACCTCTGGTAGCGTAAGGGTCTACAACGAACTAAGTAGGATGTTTGTCATCAGCAGTGGCGTTCGTCAAGGGTGCCCTCTTTCGCCATTCTTGTTCAATTTCGTAATCGAAATACTGGAGAACACACTCAGTGGTCTCCGAAATGGGCAGCTAGAGAAAAGCTGTGCGATTCGGAGTGCGCTGACGACATTGTTTGCCTGTTTGAATCTTTGGAGGATGCGCATAGAGCACTTGACAAATTAACAAGTGCAATAGCCACATTCGGTATGTGCTTTGCACCTTCAAAGTGCAAAGTGATGCTACAAGACTGGGTGTCGCCGAGTTCCGTTCTGAAACTAGACGGTCAGGAATTAGCTGAAGTTGACTGCTTCTCGTATATATATATATTTCACACTTGTCTGAGGACAGACTGTGTGCCAAACAAATCATGGTACAATAATCTTTATAAAGGAAAAATGTTCCATGATTGCCTTGTGGGCTGAGTACTGCCAGGTTGCCCAGGCCAAGGCAGGTGAATTTTCTTGAGGAATCCACAACCGGAGCCTTCGGCTAGCCAAAGCCTGACCCGCAAGGCAGCGGGGCAGTGTGCGAAAACCGCAGTCCATTGGGAGCCGGTGTCCAGTTCATCGGATCATACGCCCTTCGGACGGGGTCAGACGTCCAAGGTGCCCAATACACCTCAATGCCCAATCGAGCCGGTGACCACTGCCACAACCGAAAGGTGTGGGTGTGGTTCGTACGTCTCCTCATGGTTGGTTTGGAATCAGGGTTTTTGGCCAACTCCCCTAGGTGAACTGCCAGTGGTCCACCGACCCGGTTATAGCCCCGGAGGTTGGCTTTTCGTCCTCTCACTTTGGTGGGAAAACACCTCCGCCGCGAGAAGGCAGTGAGTAGGGCTTCCTCAGCAGAGGCTATTTGAGACGCTTTGTCGTATGGGGGCATTTCGCTATGTGCAAGGGCAGGGTGACCAGCCGCAACCCTAGACACCCACCCCCAACCATACTGAGGCCTTGGGAGGCACTGCTTCTCGTACTTAGGTAGCTGCGTGACCAACGACGGTAGCGCATCAAATGAGATAACCGCCCGCATTTCCAAGGCTCAAGCAGCATACGCAGGACTGAAACACTTGTGGCGATGACGTGACGTTTCACTAAAGTTGAAAAATCGCGTATACTGCGCCACCATACGATCGGTTCTACTTTACGGTTGAGACCTTGAATTTGCGGATAGAAGACATCCGTCGTTTCGCAGTGTTCGATAATCGATGCTTACGTAGTCTGGCCCAAGTGAGATGGAGTGAGCGGGTTAGTAACTTAGAAGTAAGTCTATGAATATTAGGGAATACCTCAAAGAAGAACTGGCTATCTCATCGGATCCAGCTCAGTAGGCACCGTTGGTTATGACACGTTTTGCGTATGTCCGACAGTCGCCTACCGCAGCGCGCCTTGTTTGCAGTGTCTGTTACGGGCTGGAGGAAGCCACATGGAGGCCAGGAGATGACGTGGTAGATGAGGCATGAAGAAATGCACAAAGCGATTAGGTAGAGTAGGTGTCTCACGTCTTCCCGGTCGGGGTCCAAAAGACTCCGTAACTGCATGGTGGAGACGCGGAAGGTCATGGCTTCCAACCGACAGCAATGGCGATCATGCTCTCTGTCACTTCTTATCAGACCAGAATGCTTGAACTAGTATGTATGCACAGTTGGATTGTTTACTGTTTGTTGACCATAGAGATTCGCTTTCTTTTCCCGTACCTAAAAGTAGGGTCCAATTCCAATCCTCTTTACACATTATCAGTTACCTTGTTTGCATTGCGAGTTTGGCAGTAGTCGGTGAGGTTCGCTTCACTGTATTACGCTGTACAATGATGATTATGATGATGATAGGTATGCCACAGTAGGCGAAGCAGATCAAAAAGTATCGGAATATTCTGAGGTCGTTGAAAGATTTGATTTTCTACAAATGTTGATGGTGCACAGCTTGATTACGAAATGACAAAATGTGGCGATCGTACGCTGTACAGTTGACTGCCGTAATGGTATGAAATGCCGCATCATATATTGATTTGAGAAGTTTTGAACGACCTGCCCGTATCGTGAAACTATTTGGTACATCTCTTATGGGTTCACTGTTCTTTGGTGAACCAGTTTTTAATGTGCTAAAGGATTGTATGATGAAAGAAATCGCATTTTTGGTTGACATGTAACTGCGCATCTAAAGCACTCCGATTAACGGGCGCATTGTCATAGATAAAAGCACTGGAACACCTGGTTGACGTGGAGTAGCCGGGTATAAAGCACAAAATTGGATGAACATGTCATTGTGTTCAAGTTGGGTCCTTTGCTAGATGGGAGGCTACGAACAGCTTTACAGCCCACCTTAGAGCGTCCATAGCTGCGACAGCACCATATGTTGTAGCTGGTCTCGTCAATGTACAAACCCAGTTTTGCATTACCCGGTCGCTGTAGGCAATCATCATATTCTGCTAGTTTTACTTAGACATCTTTGATCTAAATGCTGAGGTGTTTGCTAACTTCTTTCAGATCATAACCTCTGCGTGCAACTTCACTTACTCTCCGTCGGTCTTCCGCGCTGTTGAATCGATAAGGCTTTTTCTGTCCATTCGGATTACCGTTCTTTGTATTGTAGATGCGCACAGCTGTAGGTAAAGTGCGACAGATAATACTGCCGCCTATCTTGATGTTCTTATAGTTCCACTACCGACGGATCGAATGCTGCATGACAGTACTACAAGGAAAATCTAAAATGCGTTACTTATGTAAGTAAAAGACTCAAATGTAACGCAAATCTGTCTGCTTATATTTCCGTATCTGCACCTAATATGAACTCCGTTCGTAGTAGTAGATGCATTAGCAGTCCGAGGATAATAGACATGGTTCACAAAAATACACCCCCATTACTGTCACCAGCTGATTAACGCTGTAGCATTTGACACAGTTATGATGGTCGAGGATCAAGAATTGCAGGTCAAGCCATCCAAATGTGGTGCTGCATTTGATACCATTGCGACGGTAAGCTGCACAGCATACGATCGCCACATCTTGTCATTATGTAACCAAGCTGTGCACCATCAACATTTGTAGAAAATAAAATGTTTCGTCGACCTCAGAATATTCCGATAACTTTTGATCTGCTTCGCCTACAGTGGCATAACTAAAGTTTGTACGTCGAGGTTAGAGAACTACAGGCTGTGGCTAGCACGTGAGTTTTGGCTAATTGAATATGGGTCGAGGTTAAAGAATTGCGGGTTCGGACTAAAGCTTGAGGGGAAAATGTTTAGCATATTGTAGACAATTACATCGTTTCTTAGGTAATTGTTTGATCGTTTTTCAAGCTTCGTGCTGTGATGCTGGTCGTGGATTCAAATGTATCTGAAGCTATATTTGATAGACCTTTTTCGGATTTGCTCCAGTATGCATGCGAATCACTTGACAGTCCGTTTCTGCCGTGAATTAACCACTAACAGCATTGGTCGCTATGGTATGTCAGTATTGTGAACCTTAGGTGAACGGTTAAGATGCCTAATGGTTACTCTCGTCGAATGGCGATGGCTCAATGAAACCTCGGTCTTTCAAGGAGGTTAGGTCGTTCACAGCTTGTTTATCGCTACGCCGAGGCAAGTAGTAGGTGGAAGAAAGCTAAGACCTGGCATGAGGGTATGAAAACCTTAATCAGGAGTCTGGGTCACATAGACTCCCTCTTTGGGGACCTTTGGATGATCGTAATCGATGGTTAGAGACACTGAGTGCTACGGCTGAGTGTAGTAAACAGTGGCATTCGTGCATCTTATCAGTTTCTGTGCAACATTAGTCCACATCAGTCATGACCCGGACGGACCGTCCTCATCGGTTTTTAAAGATGGAGGTCCAACGTTGTTCTGTGTACTGATAAGAATTGGGTTTAGAAAGTGGACAGCTGCCTGGTAAACATGTACCGCGGAATTGAGCCATTGAATCAAATTAAAACGATATGTGCAGGATTTCGCCCAGGGAAATAGAGGTCACAATACTTCAAGGAGTATGTACCAGAATTAATTATGTTTCACAGATACAGCTTTGAGGCTGAATCCGTGTACTAATGAGAATTGGGTAGAAAGTGGCATTCGTGCATCTTGTCAGTTTCTCTGCAGCATTAGTTCACTGCCATTCTATATTTTATCTTTGATCCTACTTTCAACCTTTCCTGTCTTTCTTCTACTTTTCACCCAAAAGGGCAACCAGAAGACAGCAACCAAAACCGGCGCACAATAATGCATGGTTAATGGTTAATAAACTGAACTGAACTGAACAGAACGGCCAACCGTCGGTTATATTCTGGGACACGCTTTTGTTTCACTAGATTGAATCAATTGGGAAAACTCTCGGTAACTCTTTGGCAAAGGCTTTTACAACACCGCAATAATGGTGTGGATTATTTTTCGTGACGTCTGCAACTTTGAATGGTCCGCTTGCAGTCCTTATCTTGGACCAACAAAGCATCCACGCCGAATGACACTCATAAAAGCCTTCCCAATCCTAAAAGGATAAATATGAACACCTTTTTAAAATTTGCCTAAGCGCTTCTTGTGCTCACTCTTAGGCTTTCAGTCACGATTTCAAGTTGAATCGCCGACTCCCAGTTATGCAACAACAAATGTGGACCGTCAAACCATCCTTTTGCACAGTGTGTGCATACCCCACGTATGCTACGCATTAAGTCCATCACATGCTGTTTCTGGTTAAGGTGATAGACATCTGTTTATCCGCGCAATCAACCGTCGACACAAAAGCTCCCTATAACTGCTTCAATTGGGTCAATACTCCCAGTTGATATTAATCCTCAACCTGAAATGAAAGTTACCGGGGAAATCAGTCTTGACCCGGACGGGCTGTCCTCATCGGGTTTTAAAGATGGAGGTTCAACGTTGGTCTTGGAGTTGACGAAACTCCTGAGAACAATGTGATAGAGGAACCAGGTTCCAACGGAATAGTGGGAATCAGTCATCATACCAATTCACAAGAAAGGCGATTAATTGTCTTGTGAAAACCACAGCAGAATTAGTTTAATGTACATTTTCTCTAATCTTCTGGCCTCTACGATGATTGTCTACATCACGTAAACGGTGCACACGTGAAAACTAGGCTGGTTTTAGATCTGACCGAAATTGCATAGACCACATCTTCACTCTTCGTCAAATTCTAGAACACAGGCACTCCTTTCGTAGATCCACCACTTCTATCTTCCTCGATCTGAAGATCAAGATTCTAATCTTCATTTTGCTTTTTACCCAAATGGGCGGCCAAAAGACAGCAACTGAAACCGGCGCATGAAAATGCATGGTTAGTGGTTGTAAAAACTAAAGTAACCTTTCGGCGCAGTCAAGAGCGATTAGTGAATCCTATCCGATTATGCCAAGTGCGAGTTCACTTTCAACGTCAGTGATGCTAGTCGATCGACTGTGCAGCTAGTAACAAACACGGACGGACTTTTCTTGTGATGGTTAGGGGCGTGCAAGTGAATGTTTGAGAATTATTGTTGGCCTTCAAGCGTAAAGCTTCTTGTCGCCATTATTGTATTCTCTAGCGTATTAGTTATTTTCAGGTTTTTCATGTGCGTACAAAAAGGGTAAGTAATAGAGCAAAAAATTTCTATTAAAGCACTTTTGTCCATCACACCCTTCTGCATTAAATGGCTCATTCCTGAATGAGTGTATCCACACCAGTGTTTGTATGTTCGTTGAAGAGTGGTGAACGTTTCGCGTCACATTCCCTTTCCTCCTCTGCATAGTCAATTACGTCTGCTTGTTTGGGACTGCTCCGTACTTTGTGTGGTTCAGACACATGCAAGCGACTGGCTGGAAGTTGGACTTCCACGAACTCCGGTGATGCCCCGATCACTTGTCCCCAGTTAATTATGAACGCGATGGAGCGATACATAAAGAATCCGGTTATAGTTAAACAAGCCAGCTCGGCCATGGCAGCGATTACGTTGCGTCAACCGGAGTTTGCAGAGCGCTTTGTTTCTTGTGGTGCCCCGGAGTTTCTTTCCAAGGTAATTTTTTAAACTTTTGCCATAGTTATTTAATTGCGATTATAAATACAAAATAACCAATGGTAAAACGATGTAGCCATCAGAGTTCCCCGTAATCTTGCGGACTTGGTTAATTATACCGAAACTTATGTGCTTTAGTAAGACAGGTGACTGGTGATTGGAAAGACACGGTGGCTGCATATGAATAGAGAAGCCAAAACAGATTTGCACTACGTATCCTGGTCCTTTCGCAGCATCTGTATACATGCATACTGCCTTTTTTTCAAATAAATAATATATTGTCAGAATAAACCGGCGCACGAATATGCGTGGTTAATGGTTGTACAAACTGAAACTAACTGCAACAGCAGTCATAAGTATGCTGGAACTTATGTAATTCCCCATCTAAACTTATCTATTTCGGATCAATGAATTCTCACTTAGTCAACTGTGTTCGGGGATCCCATTCGTTGGTTGCACTTGAAAAATAAATGATTTTCGCTCTTTTGATCTCGTTACATCTTCCCGACAGAGTTATCGCGCATGCTCGAATAACAATAGATCGTACTTCGCACTGGACAACAAGCTGGCGTTCAGAGTTACAGGGATATAATTATTTTTTAAGGACTATCAGAATAATATAAATTTTTATTATTTTTGTTTCATATGACCGTTGCACTTTGTAAATTCAGTTTTTTTTTTAATTTTTAGGCGTTACAACTTCACATATCCAACGCTGGGTGCGTGCGGGCAGTGTGCATGGCCATCAGGAACTGTGTATCGAGATCACCGGAACTGAGAACCGCTTTCGTAGGCAGCAGTTGTATCACAAATGTGGACACAGCTGTTGTGGCTCCCNNNCGGGATCCATACGAGTTGGAATCAATGTTGAATTCCGTGTTGCGAAGTCGCGATTGTGCCGATGAGGCAAAGGCTGCGCTGCGTGATCTCGGATGCAAAGTTGAATTGAAAGAGTTGTGGCGAGGCGGTGTGACCACAAATAAAGTATCTTCTGCTAACCAGTCATCCATATAGTAATTTCCACATTGATATTCATCAGTGTAGCATACTTTACAGTGCACTTTTGAGGCCGATTGTACATTATGTCTATTTGTATCACCTACGATACACCCGAATTGGCTGTCTCATCCAAAATGATCAACTATGTTGAGTATTTTTCCTCAAATAGCTGGTTTATTCCGCGCTTCATGTAATAACCCTGCACTAGACGACTGAATCTCACACAGATTTATCATTTTTGGGACAAAGTCGCAAACGCCCGCTAGCTTATTAATAGCTTTAAAATATTGCTCCCACATTGAGACAGTGACGATCACAGATGCCTTTTTCATCGATTTCATTATAATCACTGCTAGTCGTGTTCAGTTTTATAGAACTCAGGCGTTCGCATGTAATATTTCAGCGTTGAGGATCGCCGTGAAATGAAATCACAATCTGAAAGAACGGCTGGAGAATATTTAATCTAATTGCATTTTCAATACGAACAGGAATCTGACTTTGATCGCACATACTTTTCCTCCGTTTAACGATGTAATGTAGGTGGTCACAGTGAATTACGTTTGTAAATCAAATACAGAAATAGAATAGTGAATGGCGAACAAGCTCGCTTTCGGTGATTTTTCAAGCCGGCTAACATATCACGATCAATATCCAACTGTTTATTAAGGGGAGAAATTATGACAAATTGGAAAAGAAATAATAGTTATTCCAGTTCCATAACTGGATGTTCCTCACACTTTGGTCTTCACACATGCGCACTGGTTCGGGCCATTAGGAGTGGATGGGAAGATGGCCGCGTCGTGTGCAGTGTCAGCTCGTATACAGAAGGCTCGGTTGGCATTTGCCAACTTGAAACATCTGTGGTGCCATTGCAACATCTTTCCGTCTGTGAGGGATCGAGTGTATGGCGCGGCAATTCGGCCAGTTCTGCTAAACGGCACAGAAACCTGACCATTAGGAAAACAGGATAAAGATAGACTACAGGTGTTTGAACACCGACGTAGCATTGCGATGGTTGGGGCACGTGTTACGCATGTCACCAGATAGGTTATCACGGTGAGCGATTTTTGTCGATTGTTGAAGGTAGCGGTTGGAATAAAGCCAAGGGTGGTCAAACTAAGACCTGGCATGAGGGTATGAAAACCCTAACCA